CTGCTAATATTGGTTAAGAGAGTTCTGCCATTACATGGTATATAGCATGAGCCACCATTCCTGTAACAAGATTTATGAATTCAATATTATCGCAACGTGACTTGTTATCTGCATAGATTTACAGATGCCAAAAAAAAAAAAAAAAACACCTGCTCAATACATGCAAACTCAAAGTTATCTATCTATCAATCTAAAGCACAACTGCCTACAATGTTATTACAAGATACAAAGATTTCTTTTATTTCTACATTGTATTATAAAATTCAAGTAAAATTTGTTTTCCTGATGCAAAACAAAAATACATTAAAAGCAGTGTGTAAAAAATATAACTATATAACAAAAAGATTTTAAAAATACAAAAAAGTAGTTTTACAAATGGTGAATAAATAAATTACAAATGAAAAGATTGGTTGAAGATGTATATGTTATACATGGAGTGGGACATGTCTTTAATAATGTCATCAAATGAGAAATTGTGAGAATGAGGGCAAATGAGAAAGCGTGAGGATGAGAATGAGGGCAAATGAGAATGTGTGAGAATGAGGGCAAATGAGAATGCGCAAGGATGATAATGAGGGCAAATGAGAATGTGTGAGAATGAGGACAAATGAGAATGTGTGAGAATGAGGGCAAATGAGAATGCGTGAGGATGAGAATGAGGGCAAATGAGAATGTGTGAGAATGAGGGCAAATGAGAATGCGCAAGGATGATAATGAGGGCAAATGAGAATGTGTGAGAATGAGGACAAATGAGAATGTGTGAGAATGAGGGCAAATGAGAATGTATGACAATGAGGGCATATGAGTATGGCAGCATCATTAACTAAGATTAGAAATAGTATGGGTCCCAACTTAGTCCCCTGAGGAAACCCACATGAGATTGTCCTGGTCAACTCCAACTCCAAGTTTAACCAATTTTGTTATAATAATTGTATGGTTAACTCCTAAAATCCTTTGTAAAGTCTATTGTGCAGAGTTCAACAAATTGTTTGGGCTTATCCAGGTATTCATAAACAAAATTTAACATGTCAACAAGGTAATGTACAGTAGAGGAACTGATTGCAAACACGTGCAAAATGACTATTGATGGCCTCAGCAGTATTTACTGGATCAACATCTGCGCCAGGAATTTGACTTGGTTTCTTCCTCATAGTACAGAGCTTCTGGATATTACGGTGGAATTTTCCAGGTTGACTTTCCTTTAGATGCGAGATTGCGTTCTTGTAAAATTTTGCCTTAGCCATTTTAACCTCTTGTTGTACAGCGCAATGTAACAATTTCCATAGAAGGACTTGACCGAGAATGTGTGAGAATGGAATGAGGGCAAATGAAAATGTGTGACATTGACAGTTGTCCATAAGTTACAAATCCTATGCCTGTACCATCTATTAAAATTTGACAATAGGTGCCATGGCAAAATAAGCCAAAACAAAACAACATTACACTAAGTAAATACTAACCTTGGATCACCATGGAGACCATCCAGACATTGTTCACAGTTGTCTCCCGTAGTTTGACCTTTGCAAAAGCAGACACCGTTACTAGGATGACACAGACCTTTAGTTAGATCGCCATGACCATTACATGAACAGGGTTCACAAGTGAAGCTAGGGTCCAATTTTGCATAGAAACCTGGTAAACAAGCATCACACTTTTTCCCAGTTGTGTTGTCTGGAAGAATATAAAAAAAAAACAACAAGAATCAACTCAAGAATATATACTAATAGTAATAATGTAGTGAAAAACTAATAAAAGACTGGAGCAAGCTCCAGACCACTGCTTTCAATGCAACTTCAATAAACATCTTCAAATCATCCAAGTCGCCAATAGATGGAAGGAGCAGCACTTCAAAGTTACCTGGTGGGGGTGTCTACTTGCATGAAATTATCTTAAATCATGTTGTGTTAACTTTAAAGAATTTTCATTATATTATAGATTATTTTTAATGAGAAGCACTATTGTAAATTCAAACAACTATAATAAATAAATAATACTATCATTAACAAGGTAATTTTGATAGTGTTAAAAACATAATGAATAGTTATGTCTTCATTAACATGGACTTACGTTGACATTGATCACACCTGTGAACACCTTTCAAGCAGGTACTGTGTCCATTACAACCACAGTCTACATCACATCTTGAACCTGTCCAGCCAATATCACAGTCACATTTATCAAAATTCAATGATTCTCTACACTGTCCATGTACACATGGTGCAATGCATCTGAAAGTAAAAAAGTCTCACATTACAGGCTCTACTTTATATTTATCAGAAACTTGTGAAAACAAAATGTTTTAGATGATATCTTAAACCAAGAGGGTGTGAATAAACTATACCATTAAAACTATTCTCCAATTAAAATTTAATTTGCTTTTGCAGGATGAAATCTAATTTCCAAAAGTAAATTATAGTGATCTTATATTTTGTTCTATTTTAAACATTATGTGCAAAAAAACCTAAATCCTAACAGTTTTCGATCAACACATTTTAAGATAATAATATAATAAATGACACTTCACCTGCAGCTGTGGATGGCACACTGAATTATAACCATGTCACTTACTGTACTTTGTCAATTAATATCAATGAAGCTTTAGTGAAGTATTGTTTTCCCATGTGCATTTTTATAGTTAGCACACGACATTTATTTAGCAGCTTAATGTTATTTATTCTTACTTATGCTACTCACATTCTTTTACAGTTGGCACCGTCTCCTTGAAATCCTATATTGCAACGACAAGTAAAGCTCAAGTGTTCATTGATGCAAGTTGCATTTTCTGAACAATTGTGTTGGTTACGTTCACATAAAAAACATTCTTGATAATCCCAAACAGCCGGCAGTGTTATATTAGTGACAGGATCACTTGAGTATGTACATTCAGAATTAAATGGACCGTCAAAACTACCTTCCAAGCAACTAGAAAACAATGGCAAGGGTATCACAATTAAGATACGATATGAAATAATGTTGTTAATGTTTATAGACAACGCTTAAATTTGACTAAATGGTTAATGTTCAACTGATACTTACACTTTTCATAGCCTAAATGGTGATCAATTACTGCTTAACTTAATTATCCTAAATGGATAAGGTTCAATCTTTGCCAAAATTACTTTGCTTAAATCGTAAATGTTAAACTGCCTAAATGGCTACTGTTCATCTGTTGCTTAACTCAGTTTGCCTAAATGGTTAATGTTCAACAGTTGCCAACATTAGTTTGCCTACATGGTTAATGTTGCCTAAATTGTTAACATTCAACCATTGCCTAACATAGCTTTCTTAAATTGTTAAAGTTCAAACATTGCCTAACTTAGCTTTCCTAAATTGTAAACGTTCAACAGGGCTTGGAATTAAGGGTTATTTGGTCGCATTTGCGACCTGATCCTTTAACGAAGAATTCAAATTTGTCACGCTCAATGCGACAAGGTCATTTGATTGCGCGAGTAGATTTTGTAAGCGGCAGGAAGGTGGTTTCCCTCCAAATCCCAATTATTTACAACTTGTAGAGCCCATTATTTTCAGTCAGGTAGTATGCAAAACATGTTATCATTCATTTTACATGTACTGTATCAACCAATCAGCATGACCTAGACTGTTAAAGTGTGACGTCGTACACTAAAACCGTGTCAATGTGCGCTCATCTTATTCTTGGTCAAAGCGAGTTTGGCAACCTCAGTGTCTGTGTCTAAGTACCAGGAGGAGCCTGGAATTGGGAACGTTTCTCACTAAATGTAGTAGACGGTAAGCAGATTATTTCATAGGCAACTAGTAATGGGCCTCTATTAAACAATTTATTTCATTCTTATTCTTAACAAAGTATCAGCAGAAAGTAGGCAAAATGATTGTTTAATCGTGTTTTGAAATAATATAAAAATTGAATTGTATATAAATGAATAGTTAAAGATTAAATTTTAAATGTGAAATTAATAAAGTGCAACAATTGAATTAATTGGTTAATTTAATCTATAATATATATAAAAAATATATAATTCTACAAGGAATGTTTCTGTTTTGACAACAACAAAAAACGTAACAACAAAACAACATCGAACTAACTGGTAGCAGGCCTTCCAATTACGAAACTATAATTCGCAGAGTAACATCCCAAACCACGTGTGCGCCCAACTACACTGGCTGGCGAGTAAGGTATGTTGAGTCCATTGCAAGTTGTAAACCAATCAGAATGCTGGGATATATCACATCATTCGGGGCAACTTGTTGGGATATGTTACTCCGCAAAACCTTTGTAAACACTAGAAGTGTGACGATGTTCTCTGGTGATTAATACTGAAGTTTCATAAGTTGGAAGGCGTACCAGTTCTTTTTTTTTTAAATAATTCTCAATAGAAACAACCATTGAACAAGAAAATGAAACTATAGATTGTTATATATGTAGGTATAAGATACTTTGCTGAAGTTGTACAGGCCCAGGCCTCATGTTCTAGGCTACATTATAACCTAAATAAGTAGTGTCGCCGGCCGACTGTGTGATGCCAATTTTTTGGGCTTAAAACGAAGCCTAAATGGCCTTTGACAAGTGGTGAGCTGGAATCGCAGCACTCCCGAAATTTTGGTGAAAACTCTGGAACTCTGTTTAGGTTGAAATTATTATGTGTAAATTGATTTAGAGTTATCTCATAAAGAAAAAAATCCATCTACGCATATTAAAAATAAGTATGCCAATTTCCGCGCAAATGTTGTAGTAAAGTCGGCCGGTGGCTATTGTAACCAATGTATAGGCATTCGCAGTGTAAATGCGATTTTGCGGACCTATTTTCTCGAAATTTCCTGCACAAATGAAGAAAAGTACTGAAAAATTTAAAGAAAGTGTACAGAAAATATAAATAATGTTTCAGTAATAATAATTAATAATTTTATAATCAATATATCAAGTTTCATTTCATTTATTTTTTTCCAACAGAAAACAAAACATACAGAAATAACAATACCAAAAATCAAAGACAGGATAAACAAAAAGCAAACTAAATTGCTCTATGTAAGTTTTGTCCACTGATTTAAGGATACATAAAATATATAAATAAATCTCTGATCTCTGGAAGTAAAAACGACTAAAAACAGCAAGGCACAGCGTTTTTAACAGCGTTTCAATCGACTTAAGTAACTGCAGATTTTGGCAGTCCATTGACTAGACAGTTTAGCTAGCACATTATTACTGCTCATGTTTTTCTTTTTTATATTGTGTATATCTGTTAATAATTAACAGAAATTTGTAATTTTCTTAGAAATATTCCTAACAATTGAAATTTTCCATGAAATACTTTCCCTTTCCTTCCAGTTAGGTTGAATTTTTTACCTTGCACCTTTTTTCTTTACTATCCCTTTAATACCTATTTTCTTTTTAATATTGTTTCATCCTTTTTCTTATTTCATTTTTGATACTTACCTTTCTTTTAGTTTTTTCATTGTCATTTTCTTTCCACCATTTCACTTCTTTTTTTTCTTTCCTTTTTGTTATTTCTTATTTATTATTTTTCTTGTTTTTTTTTCAATTTTCAAAAATCTCTTCTCTTTTTCTTTCATGTCTTCTTTCTTGCATAATAATCCATGGGGACAGTGTAGGTGTGGGTGGGTGGGGGTTTGTTAGGAAATATAAAGAATAAAATATTGCGCAGCACTTAGTATCTTAGGGATGCGAAAAGGATGGGGAAATATGTGCTACTATAAAAATTACTTGTGCTACCAAATTTTTTTGGGGGGTGCCAGAAAATTTTGGCAGTGCTACCAAGAAAAAAAAAGTTAATTTCAAGCCCTGTTCAACCATTGCCTAACTTAGTTTGCCTAAATTGTTAACGATTAACCATTGCTTAAAATAGTTTGCCTAAATTATTAATGTTCAACCATTGCTTAACTTAGTTTGCCTAAATTCTTAACATTCAACAATTGCCTAACTTAGTTTGCCTAAATTGTTAATGTTCAACCATTGCCTAACATAGTTTGCCTACATGGTTACTGTTAAACTGTTGATTGGCTTACCTTCCTATGGAATGATCATTAGGATTTGTGCACCATCCACATTGAAAATGAGAAAGACACTTTGTACAGCTTGTGAATTGAGAACAATCAATGCACTGGGAAGGCCTAGAAATGACAATAATTCAAAAAGATTATTATTGATAATATAAAAGATCAAAACCTAAACCTATTTTGCAACAATGAAAATTACAAATTTAGTTAATTAATTGTCATGCTGTTTTTTCTATTCAGAACTTTTGGTAGCATTATATATGAAACATAATCATACATTCATGTATCATGTACTGTCAACATGATATTTAGTAAATGAATTGAAATAATCTGGCATATAAACTATATTTTCAAGTGGGCCTCACAAAGTATTAGGACATTTTTACTTACTCATCAAACCAATGTGTACACTGACCAAATGGAAATAGTAAAGTATAAGTTCCATACACAAAACAATGACTGGTCTCTTCACACCAGCCACAGTCTGGGTTGTTAGTACAACTATTGCAAGATGTTGACCTGTGAATAGAATGGAACATTTAGGAAATAGCATGCAATTATAATAAGCAGACAGAAAGTAACAAATCTCTTTTTACTTATGGTTGCTCTGAAAAGGGCCGTTTGTTTTGAATATTTTCGGGGTTTTCAATGACATCATCGTCGATACAAGGCGTAAAACCTGTCTCTTATACACATCTTTTATCTATCACCGTTCTTATCAAAAACAATGCTACATTGATGGCTTATTCTTATAAACTGAATATATCAAAATGATACTTGCATACAGAAGACACAGTTGTGAAATGTACAATAAAGCAGTATTGTTTTTTCCCATCTTAATTTGGTACAGGAGTGAAAACTGATGTCCAAGCTATATATTTTTGTTTGAACTATTAATTATTAACCCTTATCATGCAATACTGCGACAGTGCTGCAAGAGCACTATTGCGACATATACAAGTATACATGTATTTAACACTGTGTTTTTAGATCATTCTGATGCTCTTTTGTTTTTACATCCAAGTTACTTACACTTTTGAGTCTTGACAATTTGTATTGAAAAATATTTTATAAATCAAACACAAACTTACTTTTGAAAATTGCAATATGGCTGCGCAGCAGCGATATACTGTGAAACAAGTCATGGACAAGTTTTTTGATGATGATAGTGTGGATTGCAAGCAGGAATATTTTTTGTGGAATTATAATGGATGTTTCTGAAAGTGATGACAGCGATGGTGATGATGGGGAAGAAGCTAATATCGCCGGTGGTGCTATCGGCGACAAGGTAGGCCTAGACGAAGCTAGGTTTAGACAGTCCTAGGTCTATACAAAGAAATAGGCCTAATTGGATGGCACAAAATATCTATCACAGCTTTGAAAGAGTGTCCCCTCCTGCACTATTCAACATCAAACAGTGAATCAGATGATCAATCTGATTCGGAGGCTAATACTGAAGTTGATTGAAGATACCAAATATGCTCTACAATCTCACTCAAACAAAGCCCATCAACCTGTTCTACAAACGTCAACAACAAAAGTGGATTGCCCATTGCATAAGAATGAGTAATGATAGTGTATGCAAAATGGTAACTTTCCATAGTGTTGCAATTAAATGCAGAGGTCAGCCCATCCACTCGATACTCCAGAGGGCAATCATACACAGTCAAGTAGACAGGAAACAATTTATAAGAGATTGCTTTTCCCGAATTCATTAGCTGCCAATTGTAAAAAAAAAAAAAAAAAATTTCAATGGTCCACCAAAATACTGTAAAGCCATAGTGATCTATCACAGACTCATTCTCAACAACCAAATCAGATTACTAATTTAGTAGCAATGAAGTCAACTGGTATCAGTCAATGATGGCCAAATGTACTCTTGCAAGAGATGGCAAAACTCAAGTAACAAGTAAGTAAACCGAACACTTTCCTGATTTTAAAACACATTTTTTACCAGTACGGGACCAGAGGGTGTACGTAAATCGGGGGATTTGTAAAAAAAATTGAGGTTGGGTTCAATTTATGGTGACCTTTGACCAATACATACGTAACACTCAATAAACGTATGTTATGAATAAACGAACGATGATACCTAGGCTACACCTGCCAACCAATTAGCATTCGTGTACGTGAAACAGCAACCATGTACACTGCACTGGGTGAGCCAACCAATTAGCGTTCGTGTACAAAATTATGCCTACTCAGTTTCGTCGATTCGTATAAAAAATTCGACCAGACCAACTACCATCGGTAGTTGTTCATCTCGCTCAGTTCATATGGTTTTAGATTATAACAACCCGTTATTAGACTCAATCGTTGCTGTTTAATGAAAATACGTTGCATATGGTTTGTTTATTGTAATAGTATTGAAATAATAAGCAGACAGAAAGTAACAAATCTCTTTTTACTTATGGTTGCTCTGAAAAGGGCCGTTTGTTTTGAATATTTTCGGGGTTTTCAATGACATCATCGTCGATACAAGGCGTAAAACCAAGGGTTCGTATAACTGGGATACGTAAAAAAGAGGTTCTACTGTAATACATATAGAATATATGTTCTATGAGGATAATTTTTTATATAAAGAATTTTTTGTTAGAGTTAAAGAAATATATGAAAATTCCATTTAAACATGCTAATTTCTCACCTCACCTCTCACCTCACCTATCCTCTTCGTGGCATGAGGCACTTAAGGTCATACTAATTTCTACTGTGTTAATTATTAGTTTTGTAAAAGTAATTTGGCATGCTAGAATGTCAAGAACCAGGCAATTTTCAGCATGATAAGGGTTACGAACTTACCTGAGTGCAGGAGAGACAACTGATATGAAAGCTACAATCTACACACATCATAAGATCCACCACCAAGTGATGATGTGGATTTGCCAGTACACCACAGCGGATAGAAGGTAATAATGGCCCATTACGAAGTTCACAGGTCAAACTTGTTGGGCACCAGCCACATGAGGAATCAGAGAGGCATGCTTTACAGTTGGTGTAAGTTGAGCAGTCTGAACTGGAGAAAGGCTGAAGGTACTCCTCAGTTAAAATCTAAAAGAAAATAGTAAAATTACATTACTGAAAATGCTATAAATGTACATTGGAGATACTATGCAAGTCCAGACATTCCTGCACTTGTCACACTGTGTTCTATTCAACTAGGTCGTCCAGACATCCCTGTCGTATCCATACTTCTTAATGTACTTACACAGTAGGTACAATAAACTTACCTTAGATATATCTCGGCTGTTGTCAAGGTTACCATTCCATGCAAGTTGTAATGAAAAGTACTTTTTCTTTTCTTCTTTATTAACTCTCTTCCAGAGCTGCAGCTCTAAATAGTACTTAACACCATGTGACACATTAGGAAAAATATCCGAGTTATCAGTACGCACTCCTTCAGCTTCTGCTGGTTGAATTTTAAGAGCCTGAAATTTTTAAAAGCATATTTATATATAGTACGTAAACTTTATTTTATTTTTTTAAATTTTGAATTATCACATTAACAAATAATGTGGAATGAGCATTAAGGAAATAAAAATCCCTGGGGATCAATTGAGCAAACACAGCACTTATTGGATACATATAGTCATGTGTAAACACAGCACTTATTGGATTCCTAAACAGTCACATGCAAACACAGAACTTATTGGATTCCTAAACAGTCATGTGTAAACACAGCACTTATTGGATACATATAGTCATGTGTAAACACAGCACTTACTGGATTCCTAAACAGTCACATGCAAACACAGCACTTATTGGATTCCTAAACAGTCATGTGTAAACACAGCACTTATTGGATACCTAAACAGTCATGTGTAAACACAGCACTTATTGGATTCCTAAACAGTCGCATGCAAACACAGCCCTTATTGGATACCTAAACAGTCATGTGCAAACGCAGCACTTATTAGATACCTAAACAGTCATTTGCAAATACAGCACTTATTGGATACCTAAACAGTCATGTGCAAACACAGCACTTATTTTATTTGATTTATTAGGTACTCAAAATTACAAAATACATGAAACGAAGACAATAGAGCATCAGGATTACCCATTAAGCCGACGATAGTCACGCTCATTTTCAATGGGTTCCTAATTGGATTCCTAAACAGTAATGTGCAAACATAGCACTTATTAGATACCTATATAGTCATGTGCAAACACAGCACTTATTGGATTCCTAAATACTTGCGTGCAAACGCAGCACTTATTAGATACCTAAACAGTCATTTGCAAATACAGCACTTATTGGATTCCTAAACAGTCACATGCACACATAGCATTTATTGGATTCCTAAACAGTCACATGCAAACACAACACTTATTAGATTTCTAAATATTTGCCTGCAAACACAACACTTATTGGATTCCTAACATTCACATGCAAACACAGCACTTATTTGATACCTAAACATCTGCGTGCAAACACAGCACTTACTGGATACCTACATTCATGTGCAAACACAGCACTCATTAGATACATGTAGACACTCTTCTGTTCCCTGGCGAGTAGTGTGTATGTTGTGAAACACACATAAAGAGTCATGCGTGCAAACTCTTCTGGACCCTGGAAAGGATTGTGAATCATGCATGTAAGTCTCATGTGACGTGCCTGATACATACCCTTTTTGTTTGCGGACTGTTGCTGATGATGAGACTTGTATTGTCTTGGTTGCTGTCTAGCCACACACGCAAACGACTTCCTTGTGGCGGTTTTGCTTCACTAGGAAAGATGAATCCTTTTAACATTGCAATGGAATAATTCGGTGTCTTTATTTCATCCTTCATCACTTTATAAAATGTGAAATGGTGACTTGATGATCTTATAATTTCAACCTGGAAATAAATAATTATGCAGACACAACTATTGTTGGAAAACTGATTACAGTTGCAATGAATTCACATTTGCAAATATTACACCAGCATTCTATTTCTGCCTAGTTAAAATACAACCAATATGAAATTTAAAGAAATATATGTTTAACTTGTGTGAATTTAGAAAGGATGAATGTTTAACTCTTATAAATTAAAAAATGATGTATGTTCATCACATCTGGATGTGAAAGGGATGCATGTTCACCTCATCTAGATGTGAAAGGGATGTATGTCTATCTCATCTTGATGTGAAAGGGATGTATGTCTAACTTGTGTGAATTTAGAAAGGATGAATGTTTAACTCTTATAAATTAAAAAATGATGTATGTTCATCACATCTGGATGAGAAAGGGATGCATGTTCACCTCATCTGGATGTGAAAGGGATGTATGTTCACCTCATCTAGATGTGAAAGGGATGTATGTCTATCTCATCTTGATGTGAAAGGGATGTATGTCTATCTCATCTTGATGTGAAAGGGATATATGTTCACTCCATCTGGATGTGAAAGGACATGTGTTTACCTGATATGTATGTGAAAGGGATGTATGTTTACCCCATCTGCATGTGAAAGGGATGTATGTTCACCTCATGGGGAAGTGAAAAGAATGTATGTCCACCTCATCTGGATTTGAAATACATGTTACCTGATATGGATGCGAAAGGGATATATGTTTACCTCATCTGGATGTGAAAGGTTATATGGTGCTGTGTATTTCATCCATGTCAATCCTGGCGGAATATCATGTTTTCTACACTCCTTAAAGTTTGTGAAGAAATCTCCATTTCTACCCCACCATCCAACTGGGGATGTTGAGTTAGACATATCACGGCAAAATCCAGACATTTCTGTTAAAACAAGACAATTATAGTTTAAGAAATTATTAAATAACTTCTATTACTAATTTCTTATAACCATCAAATTCTTTTCAAGATTTAATAAGTTTTACAACATTGTTGGTATATAAAATACATTTTTTTTTTATCAGACATGTCAATATTTCTTTAGGAAACAAGTATACTTACTGGTTGGATTTTTGAGTTTGGCTTTATCACTTGCCATTCACTGGAGGTGAAGTTAAATATTACAATGTCATCTAGTTCTCTATCCATATCAAAACCTAAACAAATTAAAAAAATAAAACTTTATTTTAAAAGTATTAAAACATTCACTATGTGATAATTAGTATGGATTACAATAGTCTAGGGCAAATGTTTCTTGAAATTAAGCTGGCAATGGGTTCACCACATGCAGTCAAACAAAATTAGATACTCCCAGTCATACGCCACCGCAAACACCACTTATGATGTCCATTGCAGTAGTAACACTGGATGAATGCCATACTCCTGTGCAAACAAAGCAGTGCTGTGTAATGTATACAACTATATACCCAGTTAAATTGGTGCATTGAGAAATCAAGAGTAACTTACCACCATACATCCAAAGAGAATTTGTTTTGGAATGAAACACACCACCATGAGCAGTTCTGGCAAACGTGCTGGTGTTTGAGATGGTGAATGTTGATCCCCATCCCAAATTGTCAGTTGTAGACAAACTGCAATCATGGCCAATGTATCCATCGTAGCAATGACAATGATTAATGCCCTATAAAAGCAAAAACAATGACAATGATTAAAACCCTTTAAGAGTAAAAACAATGACAATGATTAAACACTGGTAAGAGTAAAAACATTAAAACTATCTACAAATCAAAAACAATGCCTGTATACGACTGAGCAGAAAAACCGACGTCACTGCATAATTCGCCCACAAATTAAGACCGTCGAAAAGCAATGGTTGGCCAGCACATATAAAAGGAAGACCTGTTCTCAGTAAGACACTCACTAGCTGCTTCCGCAATTTACTATTTGTGTACTCAGCTCTTAGGTAACAACCAAAATGGAGAGATTGATGGTTAGCACCAAACCCTATAAAATGACATAGGCAAGTACCAGCATTAAAAGAGAAATTTGCTGACTGCAGGATCCTGATTTTCAAATTTAACTGATTGTGGGTATCACAATATTTTTTTTTTTGGCTTAATTCCAAGAATGAATCAATTAATTAGTAAACAGCTTACATCATCATTTACTTTACAGACACCATGTCCTTGGCTTGATCCACAATCATTTGGGCAAGCTTTAAATTGGCATGCTTCTCCCGTATATCCACTATTGCACTTGCAAGTATGGTTCAAACATACACCATTCCCAGAACAATTGAATATGCAATCTTCTACAATGAATGATGCATGAAACCCATCCAGAACATAGTTGGTATCACTATATAAATATATCAGCATCTGAAAAAGAGAGACAGGAGTGATTAAAAAAGACATGGTGTTTAGTGATGTAAAGATACTCATGTTGATGTTGAGTGTCCTAGGGACACATGACATGGGGCTTTGTGATATTTACATACAGAGCACATGGTGTATAGTGATGTAAAGCAACTATCACATTATCGCGACCTAGCACTGTGACCGTACCGACCTGTGGTCGTATCCGACTGGAAGTAGACCTGCTCTCTTGTCATTTATTGCTGGAAAGTAATAATGGCCACTTTAGCCAAATGATCACGACACATGTGAGAGTGACTACAATTCGTGGCTCACATCACGAACTAACACAATTAAATTCAATTGTGTTAGTTCGTGAAATAAAAAAAGCGCGTCAAAATACGCGCTGTTGTCGTTAAGGACTTTTTGTGTGGTACAGAATACAAAATTGCTTGCCAACGAATACGCACTCGTTTTGACGCGCTACTGTGATTTCACGAACTAACACGATCTACTTTGATTGTGTTAGTTCGTGATGTGAGCGACGAATTAGACTGACGACCAGTACCGAACACAATAAATTTTTCAACATGTTAAAAACTCCGCGACCAAGCACGACCTCTGCCTTGCCACGAGCAAGTTGCTCTTAGCTGCTATCACACTATCACGACCTGGCCACGACGGTTTTGGTCGTGTACCGATCGCAGTGTGGGTCGTGATAGTGTGAGAGTAGCTTAAAGAGACACATGGTAGCAAATCTTAGATAACATTAAAGTGCTGTCTGTTTCTTTACAAAATCTTCCCAGCAATGTAATCTTCCCAGCAATGTATGTATTCATTTTCAATTTACAGTCTGATGCACAATGCAAGCCACATACAGTAATTTATATTATTTGGTAAAAAAATAATGTGACACAGTATACATTGAGTAGAAAATGAAAAGGCATACAAACCATTCCAGATCGTGCAATAACTGGCATTGGTAAAGTATCTCCACTTAAACTGGCAAGTAGTGGGCTTTGGTAGGAACCACCATCGTACACAAACAGAAAGTCATATGAGCATTCGGTCTCAAAACTACTGAACTGTAGAACAATGTAAGCACCAGGATCAGGAGCTAGAAGGGAAGTTTCATAAAATCATGACTTTTACTGTTAAATAGATTAAAAATCAATTGAAACATCATCCAAATTGTATGAGTTTTGGGGCTTACAGTAATTATTTTAGGTAGAAGCGGTTTGGCGCAGCTGGAACGGTTTGGCTTCCCAACCTCGAGGTCGGGGTTTCAATCCCTCGCTGTGCATTTCGCTTGTGTCCTTAGGCATGAAACTTTATCTACATTGCTTCTCTTCACCCTGGAGTATAAATGGGAACCTGGTGGAGTTGCCTGCTCCTGTGCTGATTACCAGCAGCAACACTAAGCATGTGGACCCAATGACCAGGGTAAAGAACTGCGCTTCATAACCGCCCATTATAAATGCCCGTACCACTACCAGTACCAATAGGTACACCAAATAAAGTAGTAAGGAAAATCTGTAATAAAGAAATATGAATATAAAATTATTAAAAACGAATACTTTGGTAGAGAAGTCAGCATACTTTGTATGTGGTACATTAATTACAGACGAGCACTTCCTCAATCAAATTCATTGTAGGCCTATACGCTGTGGGATTGCATAACACAAAATCATTGGACAGTTCCATAGTTATGGACGTACATTTCAGAGAACTTAACAAAGCCTTCAATACAGGCCAATGGGTTTGGGTTACTTTTGATATGGACATCTCAGGTACACCAACTACCTGTAGTGCTATAACCATGACAACTATCAGCCCTCTA